TAGATAGGCACCAAAGTGCTCGTTCGCCACTCATTTGGCATCTTCTTCGTTTTCAAAATCCTATTGAAAAGGTCAGTGAGCCATGTTATACCTGTCTCTCCCAAAAGTTTCCACACTTCGATTGGTATATCGTCTGGGCCTATTGCTTTTTTATGCTTCATCTTCTTCAAAGCTACAACCACTTCTTCCTTCCGGATTCGACGATAAAAAGAGTAGTTTCTACACTCTTCTGAGTTACTCAACTCCCCTAAAGAAGCACTCATTTCATGTCCTTCATTGAAAAGATTATGAAAATAACCTCTTCATCTGTCTTTAACTGCGTTCTCTGTAGCAAGAACATTTCCATCCTCATCCTTGATGCACCTCACTTTTTTGGAAAGCTAAATTGATCAAACCTTCTCCCTTTCCCTGTTCGCAGCCTTGTTATTTTCAGTAGTGATCTTCCTCTTCTGGTAGAATCCCAGCTTGAATTCATCTGCTTCCTCAATTATTTGAACCAACAACTCCTTTTCTCTCTTCTCCTTCTCCTCGAGATGAATCGCATTCTGCCTGAATGTCACAAAAGCTCGGATTATTTTAACTCCCTTACAACCTCACAGAATTCAACCATTTATTTCTCCCACCACTTTCAATGCAAACATAAAATCACTTTCTGATAGTCAATAACTACAATTTGACAACAATCACAAATCTTTTTTCGATTCGAATTCAGCTCCACAATCTTATACGAACAATCGGCACATTAAATTCATAAAGATTTGATATCAGAAAGACGATTACTGATCACCACGCATGCAATTCTTGAAAATTACTGAAATCAAAACTAAACAACAACTTCCACTCAATTTCTCAGCAACAGAAAGATCACGCCAAATCAAGACCAACAACTTTCAACTAATTTGCACAAAAGAGTCAAAATTTAATTGCTACCTCCTCCATTCTCTGAGAGCGAAGCCCTCCTCAGGCAGCATCTCCGACGGAGGCGGCAAAATGGGATCGTCGGACCCGCCAAACCCTCCATCAAAGCCCTGGCCGTTCGATTCGGCGTAGATCGACGGAGGAGAGAAGGCCTCCGACGCCGGCTGAGTGGCGAAAGCGTCGTCTGCGGCGGAGCCGTGGAAGATTGGGGAATCGGTGGCGGAATCCTTGAACGACTCGGAGTCGACGAAGGAGTCAAATCGCTGGGAGGAGAGTCGGGGGTCGTAGCCCAGGTAACCGTCGTCGTCGAACGGGCGAGTTGAGCCGGTGGTCGGGACCGAGTCGTCTTCGGGCTGAGTGAACGAGGCCATGATTAAGTCAAGTACACTGATGAGCGAAATGCCGAGCGAAATGCCTAATGCTCCCAAAGGCAAAACTCACGGAGGAAAAATATCGGCACGCTTTATGTTGGGCTGGGCCGACTCACTGGGCCTTCATTTGGTGCCTTACAATATCCGGTCCGATGTTTTTGTGATTTTGGGTTGGTAAGTTTAATTCACTTCCCTCAAGGCCGCTTCTGCTCCTCGATTCGGTACCCAGAAGATGAGGTTCTCAAGGCTGGATGTTTCCTCCTCAACTTCTTCCTTCCTGCTCGATTTGGATTTGCCTAGAGACCATACGATCAAGGCCTGATACTGTCGAGAATGTTCTTTTGTATTTTATGATTTGTATACCTCCATGTAATTTGGTGAACTGTTTTTCACCTATCAATTCTGCAAATTCATTTGGAAATGAAACTGGTCGATTCACTTCGTTCGAATCTAAAGAATCTACAGCTACAGGTAACTCATCTAGTACCGTTTTCAGGTTTCTTGCCTCCGTTTTTTCCTTTTTACATCGCTTCGTTCTGAGTTGCCCGACTAAAACCTATATGGTTAGTAGTAATACATTTTTCAGTCATGGTTTTTCGAAATTATGTGGATATCAAATTCTTAGAGAAATTATGTGGATATCAGTATAGTTTGACAAATCAAAGCTAAAAACCGCGTTGATCCAATTTTCTTTCTATTCTCTAACAGGTCTGTGATGTCTATTAATTCCATAGTCTGTGTGGGCAAATAAATGCCATCACTTTAGATTAAGACTAGCAAATAAATGCCGTCACTGTTAGATTAAGACTTGGAATTAATAAACATCACAGGCCTTTTAGTCAATAGAAAGACCATCACAGGCCTGTTAGTCAATAGAAACACTTATATTAAGCGCAAATAAATGCCGTCACTTTAGATTAAGACTAGCAAATAAATGCCGTCACTGTTAGATTAAGACTAGGAATTAATAAACATCACAGGCCTTTTAGTCAATAGAAAGACCATCACAGACCTGTTAGTCAATAGAAACACTTATATTAAGCTAAAAACCGCGTTGATCCAATTTTCTTTCTATTGACTAACAGACTATCAAAGCTGTTTGTTATGTTCCCTAGTCCTAATCTACCAGCTGTGCAACCCAATTCGGACCCTGAAATTGACTCCATTCTTTGCGTCAACCAACAGTTACATAAATATCCAGAGCTTCATTTTGCAGCCTAGCTAAAATGGAGTTCTCAAGGATTCATATTAGCATTTGGCTTATTTTCATGCAACCGCTCTTTATTCTCTTTCTTTTTACCTCTGCCTCCTCCTCGCATTCAGCGGGAAACGAGGTGGATAGGCTTTCCTTGCTTGCCTTTAAAGCTGAAATCGTGAACGATACCTTGGGCATCCTTAGCTCTTGGAATGAATCCCTCCACTTCTGTCGTTGGCCAGGCATCACTTGTGGCCGCAGACACCAGAGAGTTACAGTGCTCGACCTCCAATCAAGCGGGCTGGCAGGCCACCTATCTCCCCACATTGGAAACTTGAGCTTTTTGAGGGCTTTATACCTCGCAAACAATAGCTTCAGCCACACCATCCCTCCAGAAATTGGTCGTTTGTTCCGCTTGGAAAGACTACTCCTTGATAACAACTCCTTCGATGGTCATATTCCATTCAACATATAACGTTGCTCTAACCTCCAATACCTACGCTTAAATGGCAACACTCTTAGTGGCGAACTTCCAACTGAAATTGCCTCATTGTCCAAGCTTCAGGTACTTGGTTTAGGCAAGAACAATTTTTACGGGAAAATCCCACCTTCTTTTGGGAATCTTTCTTCTCTTTCGAGGCTATCTTTGCCTCAAAATAATCTCCATGGAGGTATTCCAAATAGCCTTGGCCAGTTGAAAGGCTTAACGGGTTTTTCACTGGCTATGAATTATTTGAATGGTACCATCCCTCCCTCCATATACAACCTCTCGTCAATTCAAATCATTTATATGTTTCAAAACAACCTTCATGGAACTCTTCCACCTGGCTTGGGCCACACTATATTTCCAAACCTCGAAACATTTGTTTTCTATGCCAACCAATTCACTGGACCAGTACCAGCTTCAATCTCCAATGCCTCAAACCTTTCAAAATTTGATATCGCATTCAATAAGTTTACTGGAAAAGTGCCTAGTCTGGCACGCCTGTCAAATTTGTCTTGGTTTGAACTTGATGAAAACAATCTTGGAAATAATGAGGAAGGTGACTTGGATTTCATCTCTTCTCTAGTTAATTGCACCAATTTAGAAGTGTTATCTATCGGTACCAATAATTTTGGAGGAGTGCTGCCTAAATCTATCAGCAATCTCTCAACAAAGCTCAAGGGAATATATTTATATGAGAATCAGATACGCGGAAGCATTCCCGTCGGGGTTGGAAATCTTATCAACTTGGAGAGACTAAGCTTTTATGCGAATTTATTGGCAGGCACTATACCGAGTTCAATATGTAAACTGAATAAGCTTTATGGCCTAGATCTACAAGCCAATGAACTGTCAGGTAATGTTCCATCATCTCTAGGAAATCTAACTTCATTAAGCAATTTGTATCTATCTAGAAACAAGTTAAATGGAAGCATACCACAAAGTCTCGGAGACTGCAGGTTTTTGATATATTTGGATCTTTCCCACAACAATCTTAGCGGTCCATTTCCAAAACAAGTCATCAATTTACTTGTTCACTTGAATCTATCTAGAAACCAACTTACTGAATCCATTCCTTTGGAAGTAGGTAACTTACAGCATCTTGTTTTCTTGGATGTTTCTGAAAACAAGTTATCTGGTGAGATTCCACAAAGCTTAGGGAGTTGCACAAGTTTGACGACTCTGTCTTTGAGAGAAAATTTATTGCAGGGGACAATTCCTAAATCCTTGAGCTCTTCGAAAGGAATTGAAGATTTTGACCTCTCTCACAACAAATTGTCTGGCATAATTCCCAACTACTTGGGGAGTTTCCCCTTCTTGCATAATTTGAACCTCTCATTTAACGATTTTGAAGGCGCAGTACCAATCCAAGGAGTTTTTAAGAATGCAAGTGCGGTATCTGTTGTGGGAAACACACGGCTTTGTGGAGGTATACCTCACTTAAGATTGCCTAAATGCATCTCCAAGCAATCTAAGCGCGGGTTATCTCCTAAGCTGAACTTAATTATCTCAGTTTCCTGTGGGGTTGTCGGCTTGGTCTTGGTGTTGTCACTTGCACTTCTTTATCGATCAAGAAAGGCTAGAGCGCTCAAGTCAACTTCAGGATCATCACTGGGGGTTTCACTTTTGAAACTGTCCTATAGAGATCTCCTCAAAGTAACTGATGGGTTCTCTGCTTCGAATCTGATTGGTTCTGGAAGTTTCGGGTCCGTATACAAGGGAGTTCTCAATCAGCATGAAGAAATAAATGTTGCGGTGAAAGTACTCAATCTTCAAACTTCAAGAGCTTCTAAAAGTTTCATATCTGAATGTGAAGCCCTGAAAAGCATTAGGCATCGAAATCTTGTCAAGCTACTGACTGCTTGTTCAAACATTGACTTTCAAGGAAACGATTTCAAAGCCCTGGTGTATGAGTTCATGGTGAATGGAAGCCTAGATGAGTGGCTGCACATATCAGCTCAAGGAGTAGATAGGCCAGCCAATCTGCCAAAGAATCTGAATCTCACTCAAAGAGTTAACATTGCCATCGATGTAGCGTATGCTCTGGATTATTTGCACAACCGCTCCCACATACCAATAGTTCATTGTGATATAAAGCCCAGCAACATTTTGTTAGACAGTGACATGACTGCTTGTGTTGGTGATTTCGGTTTAGCAAGGTACCTCCAAGAGCAGTTCCAATGTCATAAAAGGCACCATAGGCTATACTCCCCCAGGTAAATTTTCCTTTGCATATATTTTATTTGTGCTTCCAGTATGGTTTTGTATATAGCATGAGTTTTTTGAAGTCACATATAAGAACAAAGCTATGTTTTTGTGCATATAACTTAAAGAGTATGGAATGGGAGGCGAGCTGTCAACATATGGCGATGTGTATAGCTACGGAATACTGTTGTTGGAGATGTTAACTGGCAAGAGGCCGACAGATGACATGTTTAAAGGTGGTATGGACCTGCACAATTGTTATAACGGCTCTACCAGAACGTGTGGGAGAAATATGTGATCCACTACTTGTTCAAATAGAAGAAAGCAGCAGCAGTACTAATCCCAGAAGTAATAAGGGGAATCATGCCCCAAATGATCAAAGAAAAAGGGTTGTGGAGTGCTTGACTGACATTGCAAGAGTAGGGGTTGCTTGTTCTGTAGCAACGCCGAGAGAGCGAAAGGACATGAGCAATGTGGTAGCTGAATTGAGTCTAATAAGGGATGTGCTAACAGGTACTAGGATGCCCAGAGAGAATCTGTGATGACGACCTAAGTAGTGAGTAATAATACCCTGTTATCATTAAATAAAATCCCATGACAGTGCTTGAATTTTGCATGGTGATCTTCTGAATGATGACGAGGAGGACTGGAACAAGTGAAGTGGATTTTCCCGTTTTGCAATTTCATTTTGTATGTTTTGTGAATGATCTTAATTTGTAAGATCATCTTTATGTTTGCTTGGAAATTTGAAATTTGTCAATTTAAGGTTGGTTCATGTTCTTATAATTAAATTATGCAATTTTAAGTTTAGAATTTGTCAATTCAAGTTTGGTGTGTGTGTATATATATGTATGTATGTATGTATGCAAGCCTTTTCGTACACAGCCTGCAAAAATAAACGTTAAGCGCACCTCTTGCATTGTTAATAAATTTACTCATTGCTCATTTGGTGGTTTTGGTAACCCAAGTATCAGGCCGGGTAGGCAGAGAAATCTTATTTTTGGGAGTTTGGTTAGGGCGTGTTTGGTATCGTACTTAAATGTTTTCATAATTTTTTAAAATATTTCTTAAGAATATCTTTTAAGAACAATTTTATTTAAGATTCAAGAACTTGTTTGGTATGATATTTAAAATGGTTTAAAAAAATTTAATTAAAAATAAAAGGAAAAAAAAAAAACCTACAAC